TATTTATCTGCCATTTTATTGTTTATAGAAAAATGTCCAACTACATGTAGTAGTTTTCTGTCTTAAGTTCTGCTCTAAAAATGATGGGACTGCTTCAGACGGATACTGTTAGGTTTGTTTTCCTGAGAATCTCAATGTTTTGTCAAGGGAGACATCGAGATTGAAGAGGAAACCAAGCCAAATATTTTCTTAGGAACTGGCAGTAAAGTGTTTTGTTTTATAGCTGGAGTTTTGTGTACGCATGTAATAAAATAACACACGGATAGTAACCCCTGTGATACAATCAAGACCAATGATGTCTGAAAATTTCTGGGGAGTACTTTCAAATTCAAATCTAAGAAACAAGCTAAATCCCAACAAGGATTATGTAATATTTATTGTGTTATGAGTGTTGCTTTGTGAAATTGCCAGATAAGGACTAATAAATAAATTCAAGCATGTCCAGATAGTAAAAGTTCAAATCTTATTGACAGCACCTCTCTAGAATTTGAAAACAACAGGAATTTATTCATTGAAAATTTAACATGCCATTTCCATGTGACCATAAATCAAGCAATGAGAATGTGTGTTAGCTTCAACTATGCTCCAGCTATATATACAACAGCGTCATTTCAAAACTCTTTGTCAGTACATATTTAGTATTGATTTCCTTGTCTGCACTTGATTTGACATACAAAATTGGTACAGCCATCAAGTAACTGCACCAATATATTTCACTGATTACTTATCACCTTTTCTGTTTTTTGGTACCACAAAATATATTTTCTTGATTGTATGCTGCCAATATGTCCCAGTGGACCTTGTTGTTTATTGACTTGGCAGTTAAGCAACAGTTTTTATTTGATATTTTTATGACAGCAATACAAATGTACATCTTGCCATTACGCCTAAAGCTTATTACACATGTACCTCCAATAAATGATTGAGGGGTTTATTAACCACTCCTGAAAGACCCAGCAACAATTCGTGATCTGGCACTTAATTGAAAAAATACGTAACAGTATTACCACCAAATTTTACAGTGTCTTTTTGCTTTGGAGGGCCAAAATCTACTATGCTGTGACATGTTACAGTTGTACATTGCAAATGCCCATTAAAGATGATTTCCAGTCTGTACTGCGCACTCTTCAGAGTTTGTTT